AATTAACACGTTCACTGCGGCAGTTCCTATCTGGCTCCAATAAATATTATATTATTACAACAGTACTCAGCTGCCTAATCCAATTTTGTTAAGGTCTACTTACCGCACTTAATATTTTTACCAACATTGATGCCCTGTATTTTGGCATAATCAAAAAACAGGCACCTACGGTTTATCAGTTTTGATAAGAGCTAGATGGACTACAAAACGCACAGGAATATTTCATTTTTTGGAACAATAGTAAAAAATGTTCCCTTGTTAGTATTCTATCTATTTTCTCTAGGGGAACGCGATTATATAAGTAACGAGGAAATTAACAAGAGCAGTGATAATTATTAAAGATAATAGACGCTTCAGAAACGTGCCGTCGTCCCGAATGTGTTAAACTTAACACTTTCGCTACGATTTTCTTTTTCAAGTCTGCTAAACGTAGACGTACCACCGCGTCATCAAGTTCGCGACTGAGTGCCAATTACTTAATACACTATGCCTTCACGACTCTGACAGTTAGTGTTTGCAGAACACGTTTAACGTTCTCTTCCAATCTAATACAATTGGCTTTCTAGCCACGAACGAATTTCTGGTCTTTCTGGTAAGATGACACAATAAGATAGATGGAACGCTATAAATGGCGTGCACAGCGGAAATCGATAAAGAATTACAGAACCGTTGTTTCCACGTTGTACGTGGCTGGAGGGTTAATACTGTTCTACAAGGTGTGACTGCAATTATAGTGACGTTTCGTGAAATGAAAATTTGTTTAATTGTCATTTTGACCTAAATTCAAAGTTCGCTTTTCCATTCGGATTATATATCGTTATCAATTTCACCCGAACTCGGGCTTTAACTTGTAATTATATTTTTTATCAGAGAAACTTTAATTTGTCACCGGTTGTTCATAGAATGACGATCAAACGACGTATATTTTCTCAATTCGATTTTAGCTTAAACCAAGTTTAATTCAAAGAATAGTGATACAACAATTTATCGTATAGTGTACAAGGGTTAATGAAATATTTTTTACACATGAAAATTGTTTCTAAATTTCCCTAAAAAATATGGGAAAACTGTTCTGTCAACCCAGTAGAATGACATTTTTTTCTGTGTTTGAGAAAAACGACTTTGGGAATTTACGTTACTTTATGGTTATTTATAAAAATAGCAAAAGATAAGACACGTAAAGCAATGAATATGCATTCAATAGACAGTACACTCGTCCGACAACTATTCATTTTCCTGCATATAAAATTACCTGCAAAAAAACACTTTGTTGTTGTGTTTTGAATTTATTTTTATACGAGGAATCACCCTATATGTACCTCGGTTCGAGCATAATTACGACTATATCTTGTATGTTAACCCTTTCGCTACGACAGATTTCCGACGTAAAGCGGCGTGGCAAGCGATAGACATCTAACCGTGACCGACATTCTGCGCAGTGTAATTTTTCTTCCATCCATAACGATCACAGAAAATTTCATAATTGCACGGTGTGATCATGTTTCAGTACTTTGTTGCAAATAACGCAGACATGATGAAGCATTCTGCATCATAATTTTCTTCGTCGTCACTTTCATCGTTCAGAACAATGTCTTCTTCATACTCATCAGTTCCTTTTAGTACATTTTTTGAAATTGTCTGCAACGTTCAAGACTCCTCCGTAACGGAGATAGGCTGGGGTTTTCATATTAGGCTACTTCACCCTAAAAGTTTCTTTAGGATTGCATTGAAGAGCGACTAATAAATCAAATCATTGGTATATTTTACAATTCTTTACTGTGGACATATCAAGTATTTTAACACAAAGACAACCTCCAGAATATTACAAATTAGGTGAAATACAAAGCGCAAAAGTGGATGCTGCTCGTTCAGGTAGTGAATATGATTCCAGTTGAATGACTCATCTGAAAGCGAAATCGTTGTAAATGAACATTCTCTGACTCAAAATCTACAAGATGGAATTCGCTCATTAAGATCACAGAAATTAAAAAAAAATTTTAAAGTACCTATTATTTGAGGAAAAATTTACAGAGTTGATATTTGTTGTATAACTTCGCAAAGTTTTGGCTAAAAGTATTTATGTTTTTTGCTTAAAATAAGTGAATGAGGTTGAATAGTATAGACTTTTCCCTTTTTGTTGTTTTTTCGAATGAGTATTGGTTTTATGTAAGACTATAAATGAAATTGTATTCATGGATTAATAAATTATTAATTAACTTGGGACTAATACAGGTAATAAATAAATATTAACTGATTAATAAATGATGTTTTAAAAATGAACAAATTATAATTCGTATAATATTATGATTGAGAACAAAATTTAGTAATTTTGTGAATTATACGAATAGGTTGAATCCATAGTTTTGTGACTGTAAGTATTCTCTTCGGCGCTACGTGACCGTCGTCACGTTAAAAAATAGAAACAGCGTTCGTCACGATCAGCCACGTACGAATTTCAGGCGTGTTAGGCGAAAGGAAGAAGAAAGTTCTTGCAAACAACTCGATTCGATGTTCAAACACGTTTCGTCACACCAAACGACTGATCCCCATGAAATGTCATAATAAAGGTCCGGTTTCTCACTTCTAACAAATATTTGAACGATATCACAATAAAATATTCGGTAAAACATTCAAGTAAACTTTGTAATATTATCAACATTCTAAAATATAACATAGGCTGCTGTAAAAAATTTTATTTAATATTAAAAATCCTATAAAATATTAGCACAGAGTAGTTGATAAGCTTAGAAAATAAAGTAATTGATTTATTTAGTGTAGGAGATGTGACAACGGAGGATTAATAAATGAAAAATTTCATTTCCGTGGCAAATGTTTGTACAACAGACGGGTACGTTAGGTAAACAGTACCACAATGTCTCAGACGGCGTGCACAAATTGGACGACGATCGTTTTGAGATTATCCGACCGGAAGTCGCGGGCTACCATCTGATCTCTAGCACGAAGTAACGTTGAAACAGAGGGCGAGCCAGGCTTTGCAGACGGTTAGACCGATGTAATGTAATTAACCGGAAAAGTTAAATCGCGCGTTGTAAATCTGTTGTCGAGTATGGATCGGGTCAACGAGCTGGAAATGCGGTGAAGTAACGACCAGCTGGTCGTCCGCGTTGTTTCTTGATTTGATCCTGTTTCCTAGCCTCGATTATATCCGGTTTGCGGGGCAGGTTGCCACACGTGCAGCTCGTACGCGATTACGCATAATACCTGTGGATACACTGTCTACTTCTGCTGGTATTCCACGTCAGGTGATCTAATGCTAGCAAATTTTGATGTATTACTATTGAACGATTCGAACGAATTTTTACGCTAAACACAACTACAATTATTTTCAATACGTACGATGAAAGTATTTTATTTTGGAACAGTATTTTGAAGTCATTCGAGTTAATAAAAATGTGGAACATTTAGGTTACTATTAGGTTACACATGTACCATGTGTATTTCAATTTTCTAACAATTCGTTCCGGCATTTTTCGTTTTTTTTTTTTTTTTGCTTCGTATGAAGTCGGACGTTTAGACCATTTCAATGTTGTATTGAAACAAATGGTATTGGTATCGCGAAAAAAATTTCATTCTAAACAGCCTTAGATTTGTACTTTCTAGTCTGGTTCCTTGAGTGTCGCTATAGAAAAATCAGAGTGCACAAGAATTTATGGATTGCAAAATTGCATGGCGAGTAGGATATTCACGAATAAAGGAGGCAGGAACGATTTCGCGATCAAGGAGATAGCGAAACCCGTATACCTTGAATCGTATTGTTGCACGGTCTGGCATTGTTACCGAGATTCGATTAGATCAAGAATATATAATCCTTTACGCACGTGAATTTCAAGAAAATTAGTGAAAGTTAAAAGTTCGGAATTATAGAAACATGGTCTCATTGTGCAGGGTGTTAATAAAAATGTGGGACACTTTCACAGGGTGGATTCTACGTGGCAAATTAAAACGAAAATCAAGAACGTCGGAATTACGTCCGAGGCTTCGTTTCCGTGTTATTAATAATTGTTTTAACGTCTTCAGGGACGAATTTATTAAGATCAGGAAGAATTTTTTTTTATTCGTCGGTTTTTAACAAGGTGTTCAAAAAAATGATCTAAGACTTTAGGGGGTTATAGTACTTACCGATTGGACTAGAAAATGTCTAATCAACATAGATGCTAACATTAATCCTGTCTGTGTAAAATTAACTTATCAAACGACCACAAATGTTATGAAAAAAAAAAAGACAACGTAGAAGTCAAAAGAAGTTGTACAATGTCTTGTTATTCAACTTATATTAACAATAGATATAAAAAACTCTGGTTTACAAAAATTATATACATTTCAATCTTTTGTATCTAACCCCATTTTGTGCAAAGTTAAAGAGAATTCCTGAAATTTTCCGGCGAATTATATTATTGCAACAAAATTGTAGATAACAGAATCCAGGTGAATAGTGAACACCGGAATGAATTGAATGCTGTATTGTCGGTCATAATGGATGATACGAGGAAGCGGAAACACAGCGTAAAAGTGCACGTGAGAATCGGTATCCTGTAACGAGGGTTTTGGCACGAAGCCTCTTACGTAAAGCAACGGTTGTTTGCTCGCGAAACGAAAGTCGTGCCACGAACTCCGCTTCCGAGATCGTCTGCATCGTTCTCGCGATTCATCGATCTCCGGCGGCGATCTCGAATTTAAAAGTTTCGCGCGTGGCCGTGGAAGCAAAACCGCCGGCGGAAGTGTCTACCTATCGTTAGGGTGCGTCTTCGTTTCAGTTGTTTTCGCGATTCTTGAATTTTTTTACAATTATTTTAACATTTTGGAATACTTGTGGGCTGTACTTCCGAAAGGCACCTGTGGCCGATCGATATGAAAGTTTGTAGGTGTTACGAGGGGTGTGAAAGTAGAGGTGCGACTGTCGATAAAAGTATGGATAAATGTCGACAATGTCAAAATGTTATCGATGTTTCGATATATCGATAATGATGTTAAAATATCGTTCAGGCGAATAGAAACGATTGAAGTAGACTGCAACCCATTAATTGTAATATAATCATTCAAATTATATTTTTGCTTATTTAAACTTATTGCAAATAATATATTAATGTATTTTGGCTGTAATCCTGTTCTTCTGTCTGAAAGAATATATGTATGTTCGAAATTACATATTATAAATATAACACACACATGTAGTTTTTTGAAATTATATCGGTAAAAATATTAACATGTTCAACTCATATTTTATTGATGCAAAATTGTAATCAGTGTTTGATTTAGAGGCTAAGATTTTATATTTTGTCTATCAACTTTCATCTTGATCGGATACTAGGACCATTCAGGACAGTTTCCAAAAATTCTAATGTCTTTTGAGTTATCTGTACAAATTCCCTAGGTGTGTTTTATTAGATTTTTTTACCTTTTTACCGTAATTTCAAAAGATATAAAGTTTCATATATTTAACTATTTACATATAGATATCTTGCTATATTTTGACGTTTGTTTCGTTAAAAAAAAAACAAATATTTCCTTATTTTTGGCAAATTTTTAAAATCGGATGTTACAAATCACACGCAATTATCCTGTATAGGCAGAAACATGATGTGGGAAGTTTAAAGTCCGTGTCAAGTTTATATGGAAGTGAAGACTCATCCTTACGTGAACACGCGCATTGAAATCACCGAGGAAGTCGTGGAAGTAGCTCCGCGCAAGGTGTTCACTAGACACGCGTTCGGTGAAAATCCCTGCGATCATTTACAGTTACAAGATCCACGAGTTTTTGCACGGTTGAGATGGTACTTGTTCGTGTAGACTCGTGATTGGAATTAAACGGGTGGTAATAAACGCACGGCAGACATTCGTAAAAGATTTTTATTTTCATTGAAAAACATCGTACGGCGAAAGTATAACAGTTTCCGCGACGGATGGCACGGTTATATTATTGTACGGTGCACAGTGTGGTATTTTCTCCAATCTAGCTAAATTTAATTTTTAAAAAGAAGTTGATACATGACTGAACATTTAAACTAAGGTAATTTTGTTTAAATAAATTATTTTTTGAAGTGTCAACAATGAGAAATCAAGGTACTGAAATTTCAAGGTGGCGTAGAAAGAAATCATTAAATATCGTCTTTTTGATATTGAGTGTGTTTAATGATAATTTGATACCTTATTGATATTTATTAAATTTATTTGCCTCTGACTGCCTCCCGTTGAAGAAAACATTGTTAAGTCTGTTTTAGTCTTTGTTTTATGAGGGTTTTTCAAAAAGTTCTTGGAATGAAATAGGAAAATGGTTCACAAGATTCTAAAATTATTTTTATTTTTTAATATAGTCTTTGAAAAACAATATGTAGATAAAAATTTGTTGTGCAATAAAAAGATAATTACAACAGCCATAGTTTTTGTTCTGGGCGTTTTTGTCTGCACTCTGTCAGTGGTGCTCCATGAATTTAATTTAGCTAGACGGTGGCTTCTTGTTTGACTATATGTACTGTAGTTGGTCGATCGTATATTATTATTATTTTCTAACCGGAAAATATTATATTTACAAGTGATTCGAATGTTGTGGCGGCTAGTGAAATTAAATACAGCAAAATGTAATAAACATGAGATAGAAAATTTGTCCAACGTTTACATTAATGTATTTATTCTCTAAATCCAGAAACAACCTTTTTTACTTTTTGGTGTGAGCTGTGAGTAATGTTTCGTCTACTAAATCGAGCATCGCGTCTTTTATAGTCACGTTAACGCGTTCGTTGCAATTTCATGGTTCGTCGATGAATGAGGAAGTTATCACTTCTGACACTTTCTTACGAGGCCTGTTTGAAAATTAAATATCTGCGAGAATAACGCACTTTGTTTCTCCTATTAATATTTGAGAAAGTATTCGTAAAATAGAGACGGATCGATGTATGTACACATGAAAGTACGAAAAATTTTCTTAGAATTGGCAAGCACGAAATATTTTCCTGTAATTTGCAGATTGTAATGTAATAGAATGAGGAAATAAATTTCAATGTAATCGATAGTTGTTAACCATTTATCCTAAAATTATTATCAAATAATAAAAATCGCCTTTGTCATTATATTAGGCATAAAAACCAGAAAATATAGGTGTGATGAAATAAAAAATTCAGAAAAACATTAGATGTTACTTTAAATTACAGTTTAACACAATACAACAAATGATTGTCGAAACGTCAGTATGTTTAATATGGCGAGAGAACGCTTCAAAAATATTCTATGTAATTCTGGAATTCTATTATTCATGCAACGCTAATTTTCCCCACCTTGCACTATCATTAGTTACTCTTTCCACTAGTACAAATAAATACTGCCGAAAAATTGAACTCTAATATCGGTACATTTAATTAAAAAAAAGCGTAAAGTTCTTGTTCTTCTGCCGCTTCCTCATAGTTCTGTCAATACATATTAATAAAACAATAACGTTTAGTTGTATCCTTGACCCAGCTGCAAACTTCAAAACTATCTTATAACCCATTCCAAGTTAATCAATGAATTTATAAACGTTTAATGAACCGATTAAAAATTTGTCGGATTTACCAAATATTCGTTAATAATTGCCCGATCTTTGAACCGTAATAAAAGAACAACAAATTGTTGATCCACAGACGAGGATCGTGGCAGGTAACATTACTCTTCTATGAATCCACTTCACATCCGCTTGACTCGTTCTAGCTACCTTATCGATCCTTCCTATTCACCGTGAAAGCGTTCAACCAACTTTATCACACACACGTACACACGCAGGTCAATAAACAATACGATTCTACAGACAGTCACATCGCAAAACGCTTACATCTCGATCAACAACTCACAATGCAACGATCACTCATCGACTCCCCACGCGTCGTTTCCTCTTGTACATCCAGTCCTCCTTGATAATATCGCTCGCCTTCTCCCCGATCATGATCGTAGGCGCGTTCGGATTTCCGCTGACGATCACAGGCATGATAGACGCGTCTGCCACCCTCAGACCTTTCACTCCGTAAACCCTCAGTCTCGGATCCACGACCGCTGTCGGGTCGCTCTTCGGTCCCATTTTGCAGGTCCCAGTTGGATGGTAGATCGTGAACGTAAAATGTCGAATCGCGCACTCCCAGTATTCGTACGTGTCGAACGGATAACGATGGCAGCCCGGCATCCGTATGGTATGAGGTCTGGATCCGAATCTTTGAAAGGCGGTCGTGTTGGACAGTTGCATGGCGATCCTGATACCTTCGACCAGAACGTCCAAGTCCTCCTTGTGCGTGAAGTAGTTCGGATTGATGTCAGGATAAACGAGAGGATTTGTGCTCCTGAGGCGTATCCAACCGGAGCTCCTCGGTCTGAGTAGCAACGGCAGTATGGACCAGGTCTCGGCGTTATGTAGCGGCTTGTACATGGTATTATATACCCTATCCCTCAAGCCAACGATTTTCTTGATCTGATCACCAGCGTCCGAGTTGATCGAGCTGGGAGCAAAGTGGAACTGAACGTCAGGATAGTCGCCCGATTTATCGGCGTACCTCGAGTTCACGAAGGCCAGACCTTCGACACCTGGACTAGTCATCGGTCCTCTTTCGTTCAACACGTATTCTATCATCACAGGCATAGTCTGAAAGCGGTCTTTCTTCAAACTGATCGGTTCGTTCACGACGAACGTCAGCCCGCCGAGGCCAACGTGGTCCTGGAGGTTGTCGCCAACCCTCAGATCCGATATCACCGGGATATTGAACTCCGTCAAGTGTTCTCTAGGCCCGATACCCGACAGCATCAGCAACTGGGGGGAATTGATCGCCCCGGCCGATAGCACCACCTCCCGCCTGACTCTTATAGTTTGCTGTCGGCCGTCGCGGAGGATCTCCACCCCTGTGGCTCTCTTCTCCTCGTTGAATAGTATCCTCAGAACCTGCGTGGTCATTGCTACGTGAAGATTCTCCCTGTTCTTCACTGGTCTTAAGAACGCCTTCGCCGTCGAACAACGACTCCCGCGACGGATCGTCGCTTGAGTCAGCATGAATCCAGTCTGATTCGCCCCGTTTATGTCCCGGTTCTCGTAGCCGAGCTCCTGGCCAGCTTGCAGGAACGCGATCGATAACGGGGTTCGCCACGGTGCCTCTTGCACGGTCAAGTAACCCCCCGTGCTGTGGTACGGTGTCCTCGCCAGATAAGGATTTCGGTTGTCCTCGGACTTGAGGAAGTACGGGAGAACCTCATCGTAACTCCAGCCTGTGTTGCCCAGACGAGCCCAGTTGTCGTAATCGTGTCTGTAACGTTATGGACAGTTTTAATACCGATATTCGTCGCAGACTCGCGGATTGGAATTACGATAAATACAGAATTCCTTTAGTTTGTGGGAAACTGTCGAGAATAAATCAATTCTAGAGACTGTAGACGTTAAGAAAATCGTAAGTCAAGGGGTTAATGGTAAATTTAAGTATTCGTTATTTTGGTAAATATTTACTATAAGGGAGCCACTTCCGATTTCGATGATTTTTTAACATGTTGTTAAGGTCATCACTCTGAGTAGTATTGTAAAGGTTTTAGTTGGGAGTCGCCGTTGGTTAAAAAATTATTATAAAAAAGGTTTAGTATCGTACTTTAGTAGTATTGATAAGTAAAATGTGCGGTGACCTTGAGTGAACTTCTGAAAGTTTCAATTATCAAATGTTGCTTATTAAAAAGTTATTAAGAGAACAATGATACCTTTTTCTTGAACTGTCTCTAACCAATTCTGACTTACCTTTTTTCTTGAACTGTCTCCAATCAACTCTGAAACATTATACTGATCGGAGTTGGTTACAGACAATTCAAGAAAAACAGTAATTCAGAATTGGTCAGTGACATTTCAAGGAAAAAAGTAATTCAGAGTTGGTTAAAGACAGATGATTTGTTTGTTTAATAAATAGTAGCTCAAACCAATAGTTGCTTATGTAAATAATGATCTACCCAAAAAGATTTTTTTAATAGTAACTTTTCTACAAACGGCGACTTCCACGTTAAACCTTCACAATACTAATCAGAACCTACAAGTTCAACAAACTTTAAAGCCGATTTTCTCGAAAACGAATAGAATAGAAAATGTTATACCAAAATATTTTCATCTTTTTTAACGTAGCATCACCCCCTGTCCAGTTGCACTACGATTTCCGGCCCACTTATTGTAAATATTTACCGTTAGTTTTAGTTACAATAGTCGTATAAGAATTTTGGTGGTCGTGCCGAAATTACCGATTACCCCGGACATAAATCATAGCGTTCAACACGCTGCTTCCGCCGAGGACTTTACCGCGTGGCCAGTTACACCTGTCCCCGTTCATCGCCAGGCAGTACGCCGACCCAGTCGGCGGGGTGGTTTGATATTTCCAGTCGAATTCCGAAAGTTGCGTGTAACCGGCCAGCAGTGGAATATCCGAGATTTCATTTTCATCGGGGCCCGCTTCCAGGAGTAGCACCGTCCAATTCGACACCTCGGACAGCCGTGATGCAATCACCGCCCCTGCGCTTCCACCTCCCACCACTATAAAGTCGTACGTTCGCCGTAACTGTAACACGAGGGTGGAATTTAATTAATTTTAACCCCGTTCTGGGCAGAATTTTCAGTTTTGAATTTTTTGCAGTGGTTGGAGAAATGTTAAAATTCAATTCTGTACTACCTACAGTACTACCTTCTGCAATACTTACAGTAGGTATTGCATAGTTTATTGCATTTTTCGCTCATCCCGTCGATCGTCCGCTCACTTGTTCGACGTAGCTAAATATAGAGTGGGCTGGATGTACGCACTTTTTGATCACATTACTATCTATGTCATTTTTAGAGTTATCAAAAAAAGTTTATTCACGGAAGTTATTGAGTATTGCAACATTTTAATGAAACAATTTTATATCCACCGTACTCTCGGTGATGTTAAATATGCTAGTTAAACGCGACACCGTATGTATTGCCTTCCTTGCTGGGCGATAGAGTGGGATGCGTGTACGTGCGTGAGAAGTACGTGTGAACGAGGGGCGTTCTTAAGGTACAGTAAAGGGGCCTGCATTAAACGAATGTCTACTGTACTGTAGTCGAGGGAAACTTGTTAACTGTGCGGGATCTATCGATCCATGATCTATTGTACCGACGGTAGATACCAGTTGGAGTCTATTTAACGTTAGAAACTACTGCAGCAGTTGAAACGACTGATTAATACACTAATAATGATTATTAAAATGCTGCAACAATACAATTTTGCGCGGATCTTTCACAACTTTCATTATAATTTGAAACTGAAGAAATTGGATGATTTATAAATTTATTATTATATTCCGAAATATTAAAATGTTTAATACAAACCTGGCGGACATTCGTCGGATGAGATTCTGGATCCGCCTGATTGTACTGAAACACGGTTAAGCCAATGGCCAGGAGGGGAACCAGGCTGAAGCCGAGGATCGACGTGGTACTGAGCAGACTAGCCAGCCCTATTGCCATTTCCGTTCAATTCCACCCCGCGACAACCACTTCCAATCGCGTGCCATTCGACACAGTATAATAACTGCTAGCGATTCTAAAAGGTAGCGCAGTATCACCTGAAACAGTAACATTATTTACTATTAGAATATATCCCTGTCCAAAGGGTGTCTCACTTATAATGAACATCTAAATGATTTCTGGTGGTATTGAAAGTAAGAAAAAAGTGACTAAGAGGAGTTTATATGATTTCAAAACGTGCTGCAGTAACGATAAAGAAGCTATTAACCCCCACCCCCATTTCCCCACGATCACCTTGAAGGTCATTTCAAGGTCATCGACATTTCTTCCATATTTCTGTTTTTTTATAATGTAACTTCATAACCAACGTCAAGATAAGTTTAGCACTATATAGGCCGGCTAATTTGAAGTGCAACTTTCACCAGTAACCGACTGTTTTTACTCTCGAAAGACAGTTAACGTCGGTATGGCGTCAACGGCCACGATCCGTTGATAATCGTGTGACTCCCATCATAGACGTATATCTTCCAGGCCGCGAAACTTAGAAAGAGATAGCTGCTGTACGGTCATCAACAGACGAAGACAGAATGGTGACTCAGAGCACGCAGTCTTTTTTAATATTTGACGGCCTTTCGGCCGTATGTGCAATCTAGTTATTATATACTGCTGTTCATAAGTATTACGACACCTGGCCTGATGAAGAAAAGATGATATTTCACGAGGATTACACATTTTGGCCCACTTTAATTAGTTTGCATTGGCGTAATTGTTATCGATCGAGCTTTAAATTTTCCTAGACAATATTTATTTCAGGCCTTTAACAATTTTGTAATGCATTATTTCGTTTCGTTTACTTCATACGGATTGCACTGTGAACGCTTGTTTCATAATTTTTTGCATTGTTCCGATTTAAACATATTTTTTTCTATTGGAAGTCATTTCAGGGTCATGGGTTGTCGAACTCGTCCCGATGTCGGGTACAAAGTTACATTATAAAAAAAAAGTAGAATGTAACGTGCAAAAGAAATGTCGATGACCTTGAAATAACCTTCAAGAGACTTTTTATTATTACTAGGTGCATGTCTTGAAACGATTTACACAATTGCTGGTCACGTCTTTCTTACTTTCAATACTAGCGGAAATAATTTAGGTGTTCCTTATAAGCAAGACATCCTGTGTACTCAATATATACGTCTATAATGGTTATTACATAGATTAATCCTGGGTTTAGCAGTAATCGTCACGATGTACGGAGCACTACCGGGGGTTACGTTTTTTGGATGGAGGGGAAATTATTTAAAAACACTCGATTGTTTGTATAAATTACATAAACTGCAACAACTATACTGTTGGATAGAATTATAAGTTCACCTCATTTCTTGGCGTTGTCTGGGACCTATGACAAAGACTATTCATTTTCGTTTTGAAGAATTACGTAAAAATATAACGAGTTATTATGACCAGACTGCGGATTATATGCATTTATAGGCTACAGGGGTCTGTGAAATACAATAAAACAGAAAGCTTTTATCAGTTTCAATGATTTTTCTATTTTATTCTGAACCCAATAAGATACTTAAAAGAAGAAAAAAATTCCTATCTTTGTTTTTGACTTTATGAATTAATTTAGAAAATGTAATTTTGAATGTTGTTTTCCAGTTGTACAAAAATGTAAGTTGCCTTTAAAAAATAATTTACTTATTATCAAATTACAACATTTATCATATATCAAATACAACATACAACCAATCCACAAAAGAGAAGAATGAACGGTTTTAGTTATGAATCACAAAAAACGCCAAAAAATCAGGCGAACTTATAATTCTGTCCAGCACTGTACAGTTACCACAGATGAAATGCACGATACATACGAAGCAACGGTAGACTGAATAATAAAATGGACGGCGAACCGTCATAAAGAGGGATTCTTGGACAGTCGCGCATGACATGCAAACATCTACTGTTCTTAAACTCGTTATTTATTACCATATAATGCTAATTTCCAAGAATCCCAGAAACAATACATACTCAAGCCCTACTTCTTCACTGTCACACAACCATACGCCCACCAATCAGAAATCCTCGTATCCCCTCCACTGTACAAATACATACAACCAATAAGAAATCCAACAGCACCAACAAGAACATACTTACACCAACATTCACCGGAAAACATCCTTTGGTCAAGGGGAACGCAGCATTTATATAGGACACAAGGGACACACAAAGACACATATGTACATACATGCATAGACTACTGTTTATTGTACCTAGTCTGTATGTGTCGCCAATCAAGCTTTAATATCCCCTAAACAATACTCATTTCAGATTTTCAGCAATTTCGCGATGCCTTGTAACATTTATCGTATATTGGATAAGTGTCCTGATACTTGTAAACGGAAGTGTACATCGTAGATTGTTATATTTAATAAAATCTAAGTGTGTTACCAAGTTCTGTTCAATTCACATTTTCCAACGAGCCTCGCGATATTAAGTTGTCAAACGAACAATGGCAAATCACTAGTTTATCATGAATAAGCCGCAACAAAGTGTGTCATTGAAATTCTTGAAGTCTAATTTGATGGTATGACCATTTCCTCCTTCTTTCATTTTCACGTTTACGGAAAGTATTATAATTTTTAAGATTAGACTTCAACATCGATATCTTGGAATATCTTGCATTGAAGTTAGAAAAACAAAGTTGACCTTCGTATCTAATTAATCCCTTCGAACAAAATAAAGCCATTGTTACTATACGTTGGTGCCCACGAAATTATTCAGCTTTAGTAGGAATACTTTTTTATGAAATTTTAAATATAACAGAAATATTGGAGGTAATAAAGTTACGTGAAAAACCCTGTATATCACTTTATGTATTTTTATCTGATTCGAGTAATTCTCGAATGTGAGATTGAAAAATGAAATAATTCCTGAATATTGCCTGCATAGTAGTATCGAGTGTCGAGGATCGTTCAGAACGGGGGAAGTATTATAGGGGAACAGTGGGAGGATTAATGCATTCTGAAAAGAGAGAAAAATCACGGAACATAGAATTGGTGTTATGGTTTCCATAACAACGAGGAAACGAAGTGAGGGAATGTTTGCGCTCGTGAGTGCTACCGTAATCAACTCTGATGTACAGGATGAGTCATTTCAATCGATCCCCTCGAGTATCTTTGAAAACCGTTGATGGTACCAAAAAATGTTTAAAATAAAAGTTGAATGTTTTCGGAGGTTAAATATTTTAATGTGAATCGCTTAGTACAGGTAAAAGAAGTATTAAGCTACTCATTCCGAGAAAACATTAGTTTATGAAATATTTTAATTCCCTTTGTACAAACATAAAAACACATCCATCTGTAGCTGAAAATAGCTTCAACTCATTTTTTTTTTAAATTGGACTTATACCACTTTTGAAAAAGACGGCTCGATTAAAAGTTCATCATTTAATGTGTAAGGGTTTGATTATGAAAAAGAGTAACATCATCTAAGATCGAATTGTAACGTTTACTTAGAGCAATAACATGGGATTATATAAATATGTGTTTCTTAGTGTGGTGTTTGCAAGTTGCAACGAAAACGTGTTTCTTGATGCAAAGTAAACAATTTTCTACAACGTTATAAGACAATCTTTTCATTTCAACAAAACTATGTACTTTTTCTTTACAATTTCTGTTTATAAACATGTTTACTGAATTTAAAGATTTTCTGCATAAATGAAATTAATGGCTGATGTTTGAAGTAATTAATTTAAATAAAGAATTGTTTACAAATAACTTATTGCAGTCCAATATGAAATAAATACAAAGCATTCTTTCAAAGTTCTTTTTTGAATACACATAACAAGGTATTAGAAATAATCATTTTACATTTTGAATAATTTACGCCGAGATTGGGTGGTATGGTATTTGTTATCTTTAAGACAGCTTAAGACCAATTGGTTCATCGCTTATTTCTGGAACACCTGGTGTGCATTGAAACAGTCCATAACGTCATGTGTAATTGTTTGCTTACTAGAACGTGAAAATCTTTATGTAAGAATTCTTACACAGATTGAAAGAAAGTATTCTTGAAATATGGACTAAGTACCTACGTACTAACTTTAAACAATATTTACGAATATTTACCCGCATTGAAATTAAAAAAAAAAAAAAAAGGAAGTGCACAGCACAGAAGGAGGTAACGAACTGTAAGCAATTAATTAAAAAAATATCTCCTGTTGAAATGAACCTTCGAAACGTCACGACATTCCAACGTAACAGGTTAGCCAACAATAGACACTCGTTTCGCTTGAAAAAAACCACTGAAAATCCCAGATAAAACGAGGAAAGACACACAGCACGTGAAAAATTCTCGTGTTCTTTCGACGAGATGCGACCAAGCACCGATCACACTCGTGTACATTTTATAGGTCACTGTTTTTTTTTTCTCCGCCAGTTTATCCTACTTACTGCACTTTCTCATGGCACCCGAAACTTTCCCGCGTTTCACGATCGCGCTTTTCGTTGCAACCACGGAGCTTTTTCGCGAAGTCGCGGCGTCCGCGAACGAAATTCTTGCAAGCTTTCTGGTCTCTCTTCGCGCGCCACACGTTCCTGGGGCGAGTCGAATCGAACTCTTTATGTTGCAACAGATCCGTGATCAACGTAGCGCACCGGTCGAATCCGACGACCGCGTTGCGGCGAGCGCGGGGAGTGAGAACCAGGTGAGAGGTGTACCCAGGTGACTCCTTTCGATGCCAGCTTTGAAAACCACGTACAGTGGGTGTCAAAAGTATTCGTACACCCTTTAAAAGGAAACAACTTTTTTTTTCAAATTTCTCCAAATGACTCGAGTTCTTTTGTGAAGTTAGAGACATTCGTTTACTAAATGATGTGTAAAAAACAAAATTGAAAAAGTTGCAATTGGTTGGAATCGCGAAGAAAATAGTGAAGGTCGTTTTTTACAACTTTTTAATCTGAGGCTATAATGAAAATTTAATAAATACGTATCGAAGATTT